TAGTGAGTAGCTCAGACATAAAAATAATTAAAACACAGTAAAACAAATATTTATACAAAAAGATATGTCTTTTTAACTTTTACCTTAAAAACACTTTTTATTTCCCTGGCAACGGCACTAAAAACTTGGCTTGATTTGAAATGTGTACACCTAAGTGTAGGCAGTCAAGTTGTAGTAATAATCTGGTTAAGTCTGGAGTCGAATCCACAGAGAACTATGATTATTGTTTTGAAATAAGTAGTGATAGAGACCAAGTAACTAGAAACCTTGAGAGTTTGAAGTTATGAGATTTTCTAGACAAAATGTAAGATAAATTATCAAATGTAACAACTACCTTTTAGTTCAAGGATCAGAACATGTAGTTAATCATCCAGTTTAGTAGACTTGTGCTTTATAACTCAATTAACTCTCGTGTCAACAACAAGTTAATTGGAAGATAAAGATGGACTGTGGGAATTAAGCACATGGTTCCGATGCCTTTCTAGAAGTTTATAAGAATTGCTGTGTCGAGACTCAACCCGTCTACAAACAAGCAAGTGTTTCCACAAGGCATCCAACCATGACATTAATGTTCCATTCTTTATATAAAGCACAATAATGGTGACGATTGAAATGTTGTTATGAAAATCTAGTTGGGGTACTTGCCTTGAACCAACGGGTCTTTCTATGCAAGAGTCATCTGTGACATAGAAAGAACCCACAATTATATAATATACCTTAACTTTGCTAGATACATTCAATTATTCAATAAGTAAGTGAAATATAAAGCGTTAAAGCATAAAGAAAATTCATAAATATAACTTTCGGATAATTTATCCATATTCATCACCTCTTACTAAAGAGTGAATGAGGAATTACTCACTCTTCATAGCTTGGGTAAAGCTAGAAAAGTGAGTAATACTGATCTCTCCAAGTAGAGGAGTTACAAAGTGAAAAACACCAAACAAGCAGCCGATCTTCAACGAAGAATAAGTGAATCACATTTCATCATTCACGACTTTGATAAAGCTCTAGAAAAGTGGAAGCTCAAGCAATAGAAGTGCAAGAAATGAACCATGAAAGTAGAAGAAAGCTAGTCACTTTTGGAGGGTTACTTCCTCAGCCAAAAAATGGAGGGTTTCTTTGTCAACCAAAAGATGAACTATCTCCCTTGATACAAGCAAATATAGTTCTAAGACTAGCTATATGAGTGGGAGTCTAAGCCTCCATCAAGCTCTCTACAAGTCCCTTTGAAGCTCTCACAATAGGAGTATTTATAAACAAGGAGGAGGGAGCAAAGTAGTGTGGAGGAATAGTACAAGGCATTCAAAGTCCAAACGAATGACCCAATGTCCGGAGAGAAAATCAACCACTCTGCAGCCTGTCTGTGGAAAACGTTTGAACGTGATCTGGCGTTTGAACGTTGTTTCTGTTTTTGCTTTGTCGGCGTTCAAATGTTTCTTCTGTCTTTCCTTTATGGGCGTTCGAATGCTAGATGAGGTCTGACCTTCTCACTCAAGTAGCCTATGGTCTTCTGTGAAAACCTATTTTCACACTCCATGCACATCTTGGCGCTTTGCACTCATCATCCTGGTCCTCAATCATTTCAAGTGGACGTTCGAATGTGAGTTGGCGTTCAAATGTGGTACTCAAGTACCTTAGGGTCTTCCTTCTTGGCTGCAACACACCATGTTTCAGTAGTCTGGTCTTCACATGATTTAATGTAACGTTTGAACGTTGATTGGAGTTCGAACGTTCTTGGCTTGGCCTAAGCTGTTCCAATTTTACTGCAGAATAGGTTGGTGTTGCATGGGAGTCTGATATTCATTGCCTTTGGTCCCTTGTGCAATTTATGACCTGAAATGTCATCATTTAAGCTCTATCAAAGTATAATTAGTCCCAAAGGGGCATAGAAATATGCTAATTTTGACTACTAATTAGTGCACATGCACCCACACATATAACGTCTCTATCTTCATGTCTCCTACCCCTGTTTTTCATACTTACACAGACAACATGCACACACACACATCCAAGCTTCAACCACATAGCAAAAAAGCTTCGAGACACATTGAATTACACTTGAGGCACTTTAGGTGATGTCCACATACTGTTTTCTTTTCTATGTTTAGGACCCTTCTGTAGAGAACACACTTACTTTTAAATGGTACAATGCTCAAGAAGAGATTCACCAAGTTTTTGGTTTATTCCTCTAACTTTAGTGAAGCAAGATGATCTAGCTAACTGGGAACGTTAGTTGGTTGTGATTGTGAATTAAGATGTGGTGTTAGGTTTTTTGAGATTATCGTTTTCTTTGACTACTTGGGAATGTTGTGCTAAGAAAGTCACTTGGGATTGTGGAATGTGGTTTTTTATTATTATAACATTTTCATATATTAATTGAGATAGTTTTGAATCTATAGTTTACCTTTCATGTAAATTAGGTTGATAATAGTTATTATATGGGTTAAATAGATTAAATGTATATGCTTGGATTACTTGGGGGTTGCTCAATGGAGTTTGCACTTATTTGCACTAAGTTTTTCTTTTAATTTGACAACCAAATTTGATTATATCAATTCAGTTTGATTTTAGTTTGGAGTTATTTTTTTTTATTACTTTTATGTTTTGTAGATTATATCAATTCAGTTTGATTTTTAATAATTTGGGATTGTTCAATTTTGTAGCCACATGAAATTGGATACCAAAAATTGTGCGAAGAGTAATGTTGGCTGCAAGAATTTACAATTCTTGCCCCCACTACATTTGTTGAAAGCCCTCTCACTTCTCTCAAGGTTATATGCTTCTCTCAGTTGGTTTATTTATAAATCACCTATTTTTTAGAAAAAAAAAAAAAATTATCCCTTTAAGATACTTGATTTATTTGTTCATTTAGCTTTTGTTCTTGGCATGTGGAAGAAATTAGCCATTTAAAACTAAGTTAACAAGTTCATTACTTGGATTATGACCAGGTGTGAACTACAATGATGACAAAGTTGTATTGATGGAAAAAAATAACAATGATAGAGTTGTATTGTGTGGGCAGGTGTGTATGAAATAAATCTATTTTCCACTTTCTTTCTCTTGAGATGAGTATTTGTAGGTGAAAGTTACTTTTGAAATGGATTATCATTTTTGGTAATTGACAATTTTTTGTGTTTCACAGACGCACACACGAATAAACCAAAATCATATAGTCTATGTTGTTCAGCTGTAGGCATAAGGTGTTTGACAAAATGTCAATGAGAAATGTAAATTTTGGTTCAATTTTACTGCGAACCAAACTTTATTGTGAATTAGTTATCTCGAAACATCTCCATCATTATTATTTTGACTATTGTGAATTTTAGTAACAAGAAAAAATAGGGTATTTAAAAAAGTCTCTTTCTCTCTTCTCTTTTGCATGGTGACATTTAGGTGAGATTTTCACTAAAATAATTTTTTCGTTATTCAAAACTTTGTGATGGGTTTCCTTTTATGGAAGTTAAGACTAGATATTTGTTGTTTTGCTTCAATGAGTTGAAATTTTACTCATTTCTTTTTTCGGAGAACGTCTATAAAGAGAAGGCTGAGTGATTCAACACTTTTGTCCATGATACAATCTCGAAAAACACTATAAAGTTTTGTTTGTATGTGTGGGTATATGTATACATTGGTCTTTTGTGATTATTACTTTTCATGGTAAAATGGAGAAAAGTTTAGGATTTGCCACTCCTACTCTTCTTTTCTAGTTGCATCTACTTTGTCTTAGTTTGTTTATAATTTTATTTGTTCACTGTGATTTTTTTTATTAAAATGCTGAATCAGTGAGATGGATCTACTAGATCTCATGTTTTATTTTGTGGGTTTGGCTTAATTCTACTTCATCTTTGTCACACACTCACACACACAAATCACCATACACATACACATGCGCAACATGCATGCATACATGCACAAGCACACTCAGACACACAACACACCGTACACATACACAAGCAAAAAACGCAGCACACACACGCATGCATACATGCACAAACACGCAGAACACACACGTAGGCATATTTAAATTGAAATTGATTTTGGATATATTTAAAATTGGGTTGTAGTAACTTTGAGGAAAAATTGATAATTTGCTGAACTTTTGGTGTTAAATATGATATATTGAGTTAAATTTGATATTATGTTGATTTAATTGGTTGAATTTTCAATAGTTTTATATTAATTGGTGGAATGGATTTTTTTGGTGCTTGAAATTGAAATAGAGAGTTCATTGGAGTTGCTCGATGCTGGTAATGGGTTATGATGGTTTAGGTCCGGTTCTATTGACAAGTAATTGTGTTTATTCTATATTTTAAGGACGTTAAATGAAGATAAACAAGTCATCTCATACCTAAAAAAATGGATTGGGATTAAATGCCGCAGAAGGCATACTAGGAGTTCCAAACCCTAATGAAGATGTGCTCCATTGATCCTTGGTTGTAACATTGAAAATCTAAAAGGGTTACATTGAAAATCTAAAGTGTTATATTTTCGAAACACTAAAGGTTGCTCCACCACTGACCTGGATCGTGGAAACCAAGAGAAAGGGAAAAAAGTATTAGGTTTCATTTCCTCCATTTCATCTAAGTGAGATTCCAACGGTCTCATGATTTTAAAGCTATATATACAGCTAGTCTTTCCATGTACAATCATTCTTCAACCAAGTTTGCCTTCTTCTATGTACCACAAGCAATCTAATTTTTCCGAAAGAAAAAAAAGCCATGTATACGTTTAACAACTTCTCCAATGTTACCTTCAACACCAGTTCCTGCAAATATAACGTCAATTTTGCCAGAAAAACAAAAGAGACAACAGTCACTGACAAAGCCGCCATTACCACTGAATGGGTACGTGAGATATACTCCTTATATGCTGGAAAGCCCATGGTTGTGGGCTTGGACATTGAATGGAGACCTAACCTATTTCGTTCAATGACTAACAAAACAGCAACTCTTCAACTTTGCATCCAAGATAAGTGATTAATCCTTCAGCTATTTTACATGGATGAAATCCCACAATCCCTTAAGAGCATTCTTGCAGACTCAAACTTCACTTTTGCTGGAGTTGAGGTTGCAAATGACATATCTAAGCTCAAGAACGAGTATGGGCTGGAGTGCTGCAATAGTGTAGACATTCGGGAGCTAGCGAAGAACCGGTGGCCCGGACGGTTTCGTCGGCCGGGGCTGAAGGATCTTGCTTGGGAAGTGAGTGGTCTCAACATGAAGAAGCCTAAGCATGTTTGCATGAGTAACTGGGAGGCAAGGGTGCTTAGCCACAGCCAAGTTGAATATGCATGTGTTGATGCTTGTGCTTCTTTTATCACAAGCTGCTTATCGAAAACTAGCAATGCTCCAATTGTACGTGACAAATATTGTTAAAAAATTTGATAATAATTATATAAAAAATTCTAAATATATTTTTAATAAAATTAAGTATTACTTTATTTTCTACAACCTTATATTGAATTACATTGATGAAGTTACTTATTTATGTTATGTTTAAAAAATGACATTGTTTAAATTTAAAAGGAGAAAATATTAAAGGGTTGGACTTATTAATGATTGAGGGGATGTTGTTACCTTTACATATGATACTTTTGTTGTTCCACACTAGTATCTAGAGCATTGATATTCAATTGGGTACCTCTACCACAACACCAAAAAATATTCTTACTAAAGGGCACCACTCTCCAACATAAGAGATAAACCCCATTTTTGAGTGGGTAAAGATTTACCCTCAATATATTTGATTTGACCAAAACAAAGTCTCTCAAAAGAGTGTTCATAAAGATTTTTTGGTCAACGAATATCTAGTTTGTGCAATATTCAGCTATTAAACAAGAATTGCGTGATAACTAAACCTTCAAGTACCCATTAAAGTGCCTCAAGACAAGCCCCACCCTAAAAGAAATGCAAACTGAGAGCAAGTATGGATGGGAATTAAATTTGTTCCAGCAAGGCCGGATAGATTGCTTTAGACTTCCATATAAAAGAGATAACAACTTAGGTTTAATCTTAGGAAAGTACATAGCTCAAATCGATCCAAAGTATGAATTAGAAAGTAGAAACATTTCTAGGCACATCATTTGCAAGAAGAAAACTTAAACTTTCAGTTCTAGAATCTAAGCAAGTATGCAGAACAACAAATAAAAATATACCGTCACTTTTATTGCTACTTTCTCCGGTGACCTATTGTGCTTTACATGGCTTTCGTCACACAGTGGGAAAGTCCCCCATCTCCAAAACCTACACCAAAAGTTCACTGCAAAGGTTTAAATCATCTTGTATGCCTAATGGATTGAAGTTATTATTTGTTGTATTCTTCCTCGGAAAAGTCATCAAGACATTACATCTCTAATCTTGAGCCGCCCAAAAAAAAAAAAACATAGTATGTGAGGTTTCATTCTTCAAAAAACTGTGGTGGTGATTGTTTATACTCATTAATAGAACTGAAGAGCCAAAAAAATAAAATGAAAAAGCATGTCAAATAGATGCAAACGGTAACTTATACATTGAAAGTAAATAGTATATTTATTTTTAGAATTCATAAGGTCTATTTTCACTTGAGTGAGTTATTAATCGGTAGCTATTGATTATGAACAAAATTTAAGAGAGTTAATAGACTCCAATGCGTCAGCTGAAGATAACCAAAAACGTTTTATCAACACGTTAAAAGAGAGAGTAAAAGAGTTAAATTGATAGGTTGCTGATACCAAGAGTCATTATAGTATAGATTTTAAATCTCTTATTAAAACTAAACATGTTAATTTTGGTATTAGTTGCATTATAAAGATTATTATAATCAACTAAAAGTTTTTCTCTATTGTTGACATTCTATAGTAGTATAGATTAAGAGATGTTTTTAAATACTTCAGCCATCGGATGTATTGAAGTGTTGGTTTATTCGTGTTCTATATGGTACCAAACAGGGCGGAGCAAAAAAATCGTGTCAGGGTGGGTACGAATATTTTAAATAAACTAAATTTTTTTTCTTACAATCTATAAAAATAGGGTAATAATTTATATTTAATTACATCCTATTTAATACTTAAATATTCATTAAATTCAATAGACAAAAATTGGTAAGCTTAGTATATACAAACAACAACAATAAAAAAAGACTAATTATATCCTTTTACAAAATATAGATTAATTAAAATTATTTAAAATTAACTCTGGTAAATTTTCGTACTTTGAAATCATTACATAACAATTTTATTATTCTTTATATACACAATCATGTTATCATTCCGATATTTATCACTCATTTAATTATGCAATTCAATGCGCATTCTATAATATCTATCGTAATTAGCAAAACAAATATCAAAATCACTAGTAAACTACTCCCTCCGTTCCTAAATATCTGTCATTTTATACAATTTTTTTTGTTCCATAATATTTGTTGTTTAATGAAATCAAAGCATAATTAATATTTTTTCTTCCAAATTTATCCTTAACTTTTCAATGTAATATATTAGGTGGAGACTAAGTGTCTTTCATATTCTTTTCCTTCCCAATATGTATTGAATAAGAGTATTTTAGTCTTGTGTAATTATGTTTTACTCATATTAGAGTTGTTTAATAGTTTTCTTAATTCTTGTGCAAAAATCTTCAACGACAGATATTTAGGAATAGAGGGAGTAACTAATTTGCATATAATGTATTTCCTGGTCTTACAAAGTATAAAATGATTCTAGTCAGGAATGGAGCCAAGAATTAAAATCAGGGTGGGCACTTTACCTATAAATTTTAATTGTTAAAAATAAAGAGCAATTGTAGGCTAATTGTTTAAACTTTGACCCTTAAATTAGATATACAAAACTAAGAAAAAATGTAAATATTTTAACCAAATTCAACGACGCGCGTCTAACATAATTTGACTTTCAACGTGTCTAAACTATATTTAAATGTGTTCAAAGTTTGTTCAGGCATGTTCAAGATCATTTAGATGTGGGATTATACATAAAAATGAAAGAGAAGGCACAATCAAATTTATCTTAGACAACATCCATTTGAGAAATATTTAACACATATATAACTTTTGACAAAATTTCAGGGTGACCAAGGACCCCTTAGAGCATCTCCAACCCACTCTTTACTTCTTATTTTTTAGCTGTTTTAATTAGCTAAACACAAAAAATTATCTCCAACCCACTCTCTATTTCCTAGTTAACCCAAATGGCTCACCAAATGTGGTGAGCTATTTGAGTTCTCTAAATTCTCTCTCTGTCTTTTTTTTTTTCTCTATCTCTCTCTATGTATATGTTTTACTTCTTTTAAATTATTGGAAGTTAGTGAAAGTTGGGTGTAGTAGTTAGCTAAAATAGAGTGTGTGGTTGGAGTGAATTTATAAAATTGATTAGCTAAAGTAGTGAATGTAATATTTAAATATATATTTGACTAGCTATTTTAAAGAGGAGGATTGGAGATGCTCTTAGCCACCGATGTACGTCCACTGGTGAGGTGAAGTCTTTTATCTATTTGAATTTTTTATTTTGATTTTAAACTCACTTGTGAGTTCGGGACGCATGTGAACAGAGATCTAAAGAGAATTCATATTTCCCATAAAAGATTACAACCACCCACAAAACAATTGGATGAAACTTTTTACCATTGGAATAATTAATTAGCACATAATGTAAAATTCGAACGAAATTTTAAAATTATAGAGAAATCTGTTGTCCCCTCAGCACCGTAGGTCTATCGTCACACATGTGATCAACTGCAAAAAGAAAAAATGTAACTGGACAATAAACTTTAAATATTAAGCTGCTTTTAGAAAAAGCATAGACGTCCTTTTATTCTTGTTTTACAATTCTTCAATGACAAGCAAATTGCGCACTTCTATTACGGAAAGAATATGAAGTATGGACCTTTTCCTGTAGTCTTTCAAAAGGTAGCTATAAAGTATGAACATCAAGATCAAGCTTTGAATTCTTGATGATTTGGGTCAATGATGTAATTTGGGCGGAATTAACCCAAATATAACCCCCAAACATTGTGTATTTAAACAAAAATTTTTAACATGTGTTTTAGGCTAATAGAATCTCCAATCCTTACCATTTTTTAAACCCAAATTTAAATTTAGGTAAAAAACTCCTAAACACCTTGTCCAATACTCGACACATACCTATATTAAATCAAGGGATACTCATTTTTTTACTCAAATTCATAACTAAATCTTTAATGGTGAGATTTCACACTATTTTAAAGATCCAATAATCATATTTTATCATCTTTTAAATTTGAATTTATTCTCATTTAAATTTGAATTTTTTTTTTAAATTTGAGTTTTTCCATTGGAGATATCTATACCGAATCAAACGTTTTACCTTTTTTTTTTAACTCAAATTTGAGTAAGGATTTAAATTTCCATTGGAGATGGTGTTAGATAAAACAATCATAAACCTATTTTTGCTTGGATAATACTCGAGTAGGAATTTTGGATTCTTTGGACCCAATCCAAATTAATAGACTTGGGTTAAATTTGAGTTGAATCCCAGTTCAACTCAAATTCTATTGACAATTTAGCATGAATTATATAACCCAAAAATATAAAAGTGAATTGAATACGATTTTAACTCAAATTTTTAGCTCGAATTGTGTATATCAAGTTGTTTACACCCAAAAATAGTAAGATCAAAGGGTGACACGTAGAAGGGATTCGACGGTCATAAGAGAGTCCACAATTGAAAGGATAGTTAGAGGAATAGGACTATTGGAATCCCAAGAAACGAGAAAATGTGACATTATGAGCCACCAGTTAAAAACAATTTAGCACACATTCACGTATTTCAAAGGACAAGACCATGATCACAAGTTGTGGCCTGAAAAGATCGATCAATGATTTAGAATTATTTCTATAAATAGCAGAGGTTAGGCTACCAGGAAGCGATCCCACGATCAATTACAAATACTGTTCATAGAGCCAGCCTATCTTTTTTCTTGTTTCTTACTTCAAAGCAACCTTTACTTTCCTATAATACATCACTCCGGTGATCTTTTACTGCTTTCATTTATTGATAAGTCCAATTTTCAATTCGTCTTCTAGGTTCGAATTTAAATTACTTGCTATTTTTGCAGTCTTGCTATTTACTTTACAGTAGTGTTCACACATCACTATTTGGTAAAATTATTTAAAGTCCTTGAAGCTCCAAGACATAGAAAAGAATCTAAAGGTAATCTTATGCCTTGCTACAGTCACCTGAGTAGTCACGATTTTAGAACCCCACATCGATTCAAGTAGGTAAGGAGGAACATGTTTGAATTTTAAGTCTACCTAAACATTGGCATGCTCGTAATCCGAAAATATGCCAAACATGTTTTTTGGCATGCCTAGTGGGACCATGAGAGTG